AAGACGCTATGTGAAGACAGACACACACAGCAGATGCATTTACAAGCCCAGAAACTCCAAGGATTGCTGGCTACTAGAAGCTGAAATAGACAAAGAAGAACTTCCCCTAGAGCCACATCCTGCATTCAGACTTCTAGCCTCCTGGACTGTGAAAAACTAAATTTCCATTCTTTAAAGCCACCCACTTGTGGTATATTTTGTAAGGGCAGCACTAGGTGACTAAGACACATGCATATAAATATAGGTATACACACATACATGCCTACATATAGCCTTCCTTTACATTTTAACTAAATATTATTGTATTACATATACAGTCCTACTATCTTTACTCAAAAATATTCCAGGAGTTGCTTCAACATAAGTATCTTATTTTTTTAAAATACTGGATAGTTGTTCTTGGTATAAAATGAACCACAGTATTTTTGGTCATTTCTCTATTGATGACTTAGGTAGTTTCCAATATTTTAACTTTTACAAACAATGCCACAATAAACATCTATGTTTTCTTGTGCACATGTACATATATTTCTATAGTAACACAAAGCAGCGGAAGTGCTGGGTCATATGGCATGCACATACTTTTATTTGTTTGTTTGCCCTTTTTTCTTCCATTTGTAAAAGCTATTGGAATTTTACAGATATTTTTCAATTATTTGTTATGATATTGCAAATATTTAATCCAGGCTATTTTTTGTCTTTGGATCTGTTATATCTTTCCCTTTGTAACTGCTGGGTTTTCTGTCCTGCTTAAGAGGATAATAACCTCCACAAGATTATGTAAATTTTTTCTTACTTTATTTTTTAAAATAATATTTGGTTGTGTTTTTGGTGAAGGTTTACACAGTATAGGTTCCCATTCAACAATTTCTACACAAATTGTTCAGTGATATTGGTTACATTCTTCATAATGTGTGAACATTCTCATTATTTCCATTCTGGTTGTTCCATTTCCATTAACCTAGTTTCCCAGCCCCCTTACATTCTCAACTTTGTTCTAAAGTAATTGTGAACTGTTTGATCTCATATAGACGATTTTTTAAAGGAGCACAGTACTCATGGGTGATAGTCTTTATTTTGTGAGCTAATCTGTTATTTAGCTAAAAGATGACCTCAGGTGCTAGTTTCAGTTCAAGCTTTAAAGTGTCTCAGAGCAATCGTCTCAGGGAGGGGAGTTCTCTAGTCTCAACCGGTCCAGTAAGTCTGGACTTTTTAAGAATTTGAGTTCTGTTTCACATTTTTCTCCCATTCTATCAGGATCCATTTATTGTGGCCCTGGTCAGAATGTTCAGGAGTTGTAGCCGGGCACCAAGTAGTTCTTCTGGTCTCAGGGTAGATGAGGCCTCAGGGTAGATAAGGCCATGGTTCATGTAGAATATTAATCTTGTAGACGAGTTTCTTCTTTGAGTCTTTTATTTCCTTCTTTCTCTTTTGTTCCAGACAAGTAGAGACCAATAGCTGAATCTTAGATGGTCATTTGCAAGCTTTTAAGACCTCAGATACTACTCACCAAACTAGGATGTAAAACATAAACTTTATCAACTATAGTATGCCAATTGACTGAAATATCCCATAAGACTATGGTCCTAAGACTTCACACCCAGAAAACCAATCCTGTGAGGTGTTTGGTTATGTCTAAGAAACATCCGTAACTGTGCCCCCGTGTACTTTATCATATATATGAATATATATACATAAAGTCACATGGATGCATATACTTATGCATACACCTATATATACACGTATATATAATAACATATACATATCTATACACATATATGCCTACATACATACATATATACCCACACATATTTTTTTTGGTTGTTGCTGTTGTTTCAAAATTATATATTCCATAGCAATTACTAAAAGATCCTTTTTTCTTGTGTACATCTTAGTTACATCGTTTACCTTTGTCAAGTAGTGTACACTTCACCCTCATTTGGTGTTAACCTTTCCCATCACCAAAAAAACAAGTGTTTACTATCTAGAGAGTGAATTCCCCTCTCTCCCCTGCAACCCTAGTAACCACTAACTAACACTAGTTTCTGTACATTTACCTGTTGGTATCATTTCATAAAAGTGAGAAAATACAATATCTTACTTAATTTTTATTGTAATATTTTAGTTTTGTTTTTAGCATTTTCATCTTTAAACACCCACTAGGCATTTACCATTATGTATGTGGTGAGTAGGAACTTCTGTTCATTATCTTTTGATGTGATAAGCCCATGTAGCTTGATTCTTAGGTTAAAAAAACAAAAAAGTTTTGCAAATAATGTGAAATTCTTAAAAAAACATGCTTTCTCACCAACACAACTATTTCCATAGTAAAAAATTCAAGCAGTAGAATTGTTGAGTCATAGAGTATGGAAAATATACAGTTTTGGGTACTTGTTGTGAATAGAAGCACAAAAATGGATGGACCAATTTACACTCTCACTGAGTATGAGAAATATCTACTTCCTCAGTAAAACTGACTATTGTAGTAAACATTTGCTTGCCTAATTGATAGGTAGAGAACAATACCTTTCCATTTTTATTGTTATTATTTTTTAATTTATCTTTTTGCCTCCTGGTAAGATAGAATGTTTGTTTTCCACATAGATTTCTTTGGCTGATGCTCTAGTCATACCTCTTCCTGAATTTTCAGGCTATGACAAATACCATTTTCTTGTTGATTTCTAGGAGCACTTAATTGCAAATTATAAACCATTAGGCTGTTTGACTATAAGGAGACACCTTCTGCACAGCTTAGCTGAAGCAAAGTCTATGCTGATAGTTAATGAGGCAGTAATGGAGACCATGAACTCATGGGAAGCAAAAAATGGAGATTCGAAGGCCAAATGAGCAGAAGTTCTGATTCAGTGGATTTTTAAGAGTATGTGTGTGTATGCGGGGGGAGATGTATGTCAGAATTTTTATTTTAAATAAGCATTCCAGATTATTTTAATGCAAGGAGCTGACTTCTTAACAGACACCAGCTATACAATGTTACAATAAATTTATAGGCTGAAGTTGGGGAATAATTCCTCTCCTGTTGTATTCCTTTTTGAAAATGAAAGTCCTAGTTTTTAAAGAATAGAGTTACTGTTAATTTTATGAAATCAGAAATAAAACTGGCCCAAGAACACTAGAATCCTAATTAAGTAAACATTTATTAAGCACCCACTGTATGGTAGGCGGAGCCCTGGTGGCGCAGTGGTTAAGAGCTAAGGCTGCTAACCAAAGGTCAGCAGTTCGAATCCACCAGCCGCTCCCTGGATACCTTATGGGGGCAGCTCAACTCTATCTTATAGGGTCGCTGAGTTGGAATCAACTCAATGGCAACGGGTTTGGTTTTTGGCTTATATGTTAGGCATAATACTAATCAATAGGAGTATAATGAAGAATATGACATAGCCTTTACTTTGAGATTCAAAAAGTCCAGTTATGAAATATATATCTTACAAGGTACGTAAACACACACATACGTGTGTGTGTGTATAATGTCTTACATATCATTTTTACATAGGATTCAGGTTCCCTTTAGATCTGTTCCCTGCATCACCTTGAGTAATTTTCACAAGTTCCCCAAGAATCTTCTGAACCAGTTACGGCAAACCTGCCAGGAGCCTTCAGGGAGAGATTCTCTCACAAGAGAAAGCAGTCAAAACCTTAGGCCTATGGCAGCTAAGGAAGGAGACCTAGTGGCTCTATGGTTAAGTGCTTAGCTGCTAACTGAAAGGTTGGCGATTCAAACCCACCAGCTGCTCCGCTGGAGAAAGACCTGAGGATCTGCTCCCATACATAAAGATTACAGCCTAGGAAACCCTATAGGACAGTTCTACTTTATCCTATAGGGTCACTATGAGTCGGAATTGACTCAACAGCACACAACAACATGGCAGCAACTCTGACTACAGCATGCTGTCACTCAAACTTGAACCCTCGTCCTACTCCCAAATGGACTCATTACATCTGCATCATATGGAGGGGTAGTACTGTTATCGAAAACCAAGAGGGCTATTTTGCCAAGAACTGTAAGACATCAAGGCCCAAGAAACCCTAGAGTAGTACCCACCTGTGTAAAGTGTGACTATAAAGCAGAGAGAGAGAGCTTTAGAAGACAGAGTGGGAATTTGACCCACCAGGGACTCCAGAGAACTCAGTGGAGTTCTGGTATCAGCAGTGGTGGAAGCCAGCAGAGAGTAAAGGACCCAGCAGAATAGGCAGCCCTACCAGCAGGTATGGCAGGACCCAGGGAGGGAGGCAGGGGTAAGGCTCAGTGGCAAAAGAATGGTATGGAAGCCCCCACCTCCCAGCCTACTGGACTTGTTTGTACCTGAGCACAGGTAGAGTCATGCCAGGGCCCTCCCTCAAACACTGATGGTTCTGTAGTAGGCTGGGGTCCTGTATGCACAGGTGGGAACAAGAGCCCACCAAGAACATTTCTTTTTTTGCAGTTCTGTTATTAAGAGTTTATTGATTAACTGCCTTTCAAAGTTGATTGACAAGCTCTTTTAATTGCCTAATTTTTTATTTTTTTGACACAGTAATATACATACACACACATATTCATTTTTTGTAAAATGAGAAGATGCAGGTAGGCAAAAAGAAGGAATAAAAAATACAAACCACACAAAGGTTCACTGTTAACCTTTTGATGTATAAAAATTCAGACATTTTTCTTTGCATTCTGTCATATATAAATGTACACATATGGTATTATATATATATGTATATATTTGTACATATATACTGTTTTGCAAATTGTTACTTTCACTTTACAATATACAATGAGCATCTTCCTGTGCAAATGAATGAAACTCCCTTTTAAATGATTAAGATTGGGTCAAAATATGAGATGTTGATAACAAGAGTCATATGTAAATCAAAACAACATAGAAGGATTAGAGTAAAATAATAGCAAGTATTTAGCAAGAAAATGCAGACAAAAAGAAAACAGTGGTGGCAATATTAATAACAGGAAATAGTTGAATTCAGGGCAAAAAAAAAAAGCATTAAATGGGATAAGGATGGTCCCGAGCATGCCTATGGTTAGAATGCAAAGCCCTAAATTTCTTTCTGAGACTCCTCATCTCTTCCAAACACCTTTCCATCTCATCTCCTTCTCTTGTCATTTCTTCATCCTTAAAATGCCTATAGTCTATGTCCTCTTTAAATTCCTCGAGAGACTGAAACAGCCTTTGCCTGAAATTCCCTTCAGTTTGCTGGCGTTCAAATTCTCCATAAAGGAGTTCTTCTCTCTTTGGCACGCTGCACTTGGGCTTTCCTTCATTCTCTTTGCAGGGTTTTTGCATGATGTAATTGTAGCTTCCTGCTTAACCCGAGAGGAAAGAAAATAGAGACGGGATGCTTCGTTTCTTTTCTTAAGGATTGTCAGTTTCTATTTGAGGCAAAATACTGGCCTAATCTCCCTCCCCCGCCCCACAGGTCCCGCCCTTAAGAGTTGGAGATGTCACCTCTCCCTCCACCGGCTCCTCTCGGCCTCCTTTCCCCTCCCCCCTCTGCAAGGTTAAAGGCCTCTTCAGTGGGCGGGAGCCCGGGAGCAGATGGGGAGGTGGGCTGTAAGGCGGCAAATTTTACCCAGCTCTAGCCCTCCCCAACTCCCACCTTCAAAGATCCCTATCTAGTGCCTCCCTCACACTGACCTGTCTCTTTTCGGGACGGTTTCCTCCTCTTTTTCTGTCCTTGAGATGTCTGTGAACTATAGACCCTCGGACCTGCAGACAGAAAGAAAGGGGGCGGTAGAAGGGAGCTCTCTGTGGACCGACCAGCCCCTAATACAAGATACAGGTCATTTGAATATGGGAACCTCATCCCCGTCGTCACCTCAAATTTCCTACCATCTGATTCCCTTTGGGTACCTATCCCTTCCTCCTGGATCACTATCCCTACCCTCCCCCCACACACCTCATCTTCAGGTCTGGTCCTTGCAGGGCCCACCGTTTCCCCTCCCCACCTCCTGGCAGGCAGGCAGTGAGTGAAGGGAACTATTTTCAAATTATATCCAAATGTGTCTGTCCACATCCCAGGATTCCAGCAGTTCGCCACCTACCAGCCCACACCCCAGGCCTACTATTTCCTCCAATTTAGAGAAAGGAAATGAGAAGTTAAAGGAAAAGCTTCCCAGGATAAGAGAAGCTTATTATTTCTAAACTATGACTAAATCTCTGGGAGTCTCTCAGGAGACTTCCACCTACCTCCGTATCAGCCCTCCATGCCCTCTCTCCTCACCTTGAAACTTAGTCATCTCCAATGAATTTGCAGGGGTTTTTGGGAAAGCAAGGCTGAATCTATTCCAGTCACTGGATTCAGTCATTACCAACCCAGAAGTGCCAGCAGTTCTATCACACCAACCTGCTGGGATTTAAGGAATTTACCTCTTTCTTGCCTTGGCCACAAGCAAGCCTGCAGGGCAGTAAGGTGCTGGTACCCAGAGGAGAAAGAATCCCAGGAATATAAGGACTTCTGCTCACGTCAGCTCCTGATCACATGAGGATTATGTCATCCTCCAACTCTGGTCCCCACTTTCCCCTCCTGCCAGCAGTGCTTATCAACCCCCCACCCCCGACCACACCAGGCCTTGTCACTCACTTATGTCTTTGCTAATTCCAGAGGTCAAAAGTGGCCCCTTCTCCCAGTGGTTGGAATTTGCCTTTCTCTCATTACCAGGGAGGAGCTGCATCTTTCCATAGTCATATTAACCATTGCTACTTTTTTAGTGGTTGTGTTGAGAGGGAAGATTACTCTTCTTCTAGGCTAAAGAACAGAAAGGTAGTAGTCTTCCCTCCACCTACTCTTCCGCCAGCCACTAATAACCACCATTTCCCTTGCAGTCCAATCCTTGGAACAAAATTGGGGGGACGGAGGTCAGTTAGGAAATGAGATAATGATTGATATTGTGTTTTTTACTTTTGTTCTGATAATTTCCTATTCTGTTATAATTATCCATAAACTTATCATATTCCTTTAATAATCAGAAAATATGATAAAGATAAGTACACTTGGAAAAGGTTTCGAGAGAGGAGGAAAAAAAGACCTAGACACTTGTTTCTGATGCTGAGTCATAATATAAATATAGACCTCCACTCAGATGCATTTTTGGAAGTTTAAAATGTACAAGGAAATTGGAGGCTCCCCTTGTGAGGGGCTCCTGGACATGTGAGGCCCTTCCATTAGGTGAACCATGAGGTCATAATCCCATAACTTGCCCTTCAATTTTCAGATATCAAAAGTCAGTCACAAAATTTTATTAGTTCCATCATGTCCTCAGTGAGCTGAAATGAACTGCTATTAGCCATTTTGAATTGGACAATCATGGTCTATTATGACAACTTGAAGAGGAATGGCATTGCATTCATCATCAAAAAGAACATTTCAAGATCTATCCTGAAGTACAATGCTGTCAGTGATAGGATAATATCCATATGCCTACAAGGAAGACCAGTGAATACGACTATTATTCAGATTTACACACCAACCACTAAGACCAAAGATGAAGAAATTGAAGATTTTCACCAACTTCTGCAGTCTGAAATTGATCAAACATGCAATCAGGATGCATTGATAATTACTGGTGATTGGAATGTGAAAGTTGGAAACAAAGAAGAAGGATCAGTAGTTGGAAAATATGGCCTGAGTGATAGAAATGATGCCAGAGATCACAGGATAGAATTTTGCAAGGCCAACAACTTCTTCATTGTAAATACTTTTTTTCAACAACATGCACGGTGACTATACACGTGGACCTTGCTGGATGAAATACATAGGAATCAAATAGACTACATCTGTGGAAAGAGAAGATGGAAAAGCTCAATATCATCAGTCAGAACAAAGCCAGGGGCCTACTGTGGAACAGACCATCAATTGCTCATATGCAAGTTCAAGTTGAAGCTGAAGAAAATTAGAACAAGTCCACGAGAGCCAAAGTATGACTTTGAGTATATCCCACCTGAATTTAGAGACCGTCTCAAGAATAGATTTGACGAGTTGAACACTAATGACCAAAGACCAGACGAGTTTTGGAATGACATCAAGGACATCATACATGAAGAAAGCAAGAGGTCATTAAAAAGACAGCAAAGAAATAAGAAACCTAAATGGATGTCAGAAGAGACTGATGTATGAGAGACTAACTTGAATTGTAAACTTTCACTTAAACTACAACAACAAAAAAAGAGACTCTGAAACTTGCTCTTGAAAATCGAGTAACTAAAGCGAACAGAAGAAATGATGAAGTAAAAGACCTGAACAGAAGATTTCAAAAGGTGGCTCAAGAAGACAAAGTAAAGTATTATAATGACATGTGCAAAGACCTGGAGTTAGAAAACCAAAAGGGAAGAACACACTTGGCATTTCTCAAGCTGAAAGAACTGAAGAAAAAATTCAAGCCTCGAGTTGTAATAGTGAAGGATTCTATGGACAAAATGCTGAACGATGCAGGAAGCATCAAAAGAAGATTGAAGGAATACACAGAGTCACTGTACCAAAAAGAATTGGTCAATGTTCAACCACTTTAGGAGGTAGCATATGATCAAGAACAGATGGTACTGAAAGAAGAAGTCCAAGCTGCACCGATGGGAATGTCAAAAAACAAGACTTCAGGAACTGACGGAATACCAGTTGAGATGTTTCAACAAATGGATACGGCCCTGGAAGTGCTCACTCCTCTATGCCAAGAAATTTGGAAGACAGCTACCTGGCCAACCAACTGAAAGAGATCCATATTTATGCCTATTCCCAAGAAAGTGATCCAACTGAATGAGGAAATTATCGAGCAGTATCATTAATATCACACGCAGGTAAAATTTTGCTGAAGATCATTTAAAAGCGATTGCAGCAGTACATCGACAGGAAACTGCCAGAAATTCAAGCCAGATTCAGAAGAGGATGTGGAACAAAGGATATCATTATTGACTTCAGATGAATCTTGGTTGAAAGCAGAGAATATCAGAAAGTTGTTTATCTGTGTTTTATTGACCATGGAAAGGCATTCAATTGTGGATCATAACAAACTGTGGATAACATTGCGAAGGATGGGACTTCTAGAACACTTAATTGTGCTCGTGAGGAACCTGTACATAGACCAAGAGGCAGTCATTCGAACAGAACAAGGGGATACTGAGAGGTTTAAAGTCAGGAAAGGTGTGTGTCAAGGTTGTATCATTTCACCATACTTCTTCAATCTGTATGCTGACCAAATACTCCAAGAAGCTGGACTGTATGAAGCAGAATGCAGCATCAGGATTGGAGGAAGACTCATTAACAACATGCGATATGCAGATAACACAACCTTGCTTGCTGAAAGGGAAGAGGATTTGAAGCACTTACTGATGAAGATCAAAGACCACAGCCTTCGGTATGGATGACACCTCAACATAAAGAAAACAAAAATCCTCACAACTGGACCAATAAGTAAATTCATGATAAACAGAGAAAAGATTGAAGTTGTCAAGGACTTCATTTTACTTCGATCCACAATCAACACCCATGGAAGCAGCAGTCAAGAAATCAAACGACGCATTGCATTGGGCAAATCTGCTGCAAGAGACCTCTTTGAAGTGTTAAAAAGCAAAGATGTCACCTTGAAGACTAAGATGCACTTGACCCAAGTCATGGTGTTTTCAATTGCCGCATATGCATGTGAAAGCGGGGCAATGAATAAGGAAGACCAAAGAAGAATTGATGCCTTTGAATTACAGTGTTGGCAAAGAATATAGAATATATCATCGAATGCCAAAAGAACAAACAAATCTGTCTTGAAAGAAATACAGCCAGAATGTCCCTTAGAAGCAAGAATGGCGAGACTTCATCTCACATACTTTGGACGTGTTATCAGGAAAGATCAGTCCCTAGAGAAGGACATCATGCTTTGTAAAGTAGAGGGTCAGTGAAAAAGAGGAAGACCCTTGACAAGATGGATTGACATGGTGGCTGAAACAGTGGGCTCAAACATAACAATGATTGTGAGGATGGCACAGGACCGGGTAATGTTTCATTCTGTTTTGCATAGGGTCGCTATGAGTTGGAATTGACTCGACAGTACCTAACAACAACAACGACCAGCAAGATAAATCCAAGCCCCTTAGAGGCACTAAACCCAGAACTTGCAATTATTGCAAGAAACTCAGTCATTGGAAAAAGAATTGCCATAATTTAGAGAAATAGCTTAAGCAAGAGACCCTTCAACCAGATATAGAATGAAGGCTCTCTGGGGACACAATGAGGGCTGTTCCTATGGTAGGACTTAACCCTCAAGGAGAAACTACCATGTATATCAATGGAGAACCTTACAAAT